CAGAGGACACTGGCCTCTCTACAGGAGGTGCCCCTTCCAGATGTTGCCTTGGATTCCCTCAGTCTGGAATGAGCAAGGCAGAGCACAGCAGGGAGATCCCTGGCACTCGGGGATTTAACTAGCAGTGCTTTAAATTCAAACAGGAGAGGAGAGAAGCCTGTGTGTCAGCCCTGATTCTAGAACCTAAGATCTAACAAGTGGGTAAACACGAAAAACTGCACATACAAGGAACGCTCCTATCCCTGGAGCACCAAGTCTACGAAGCACCTTAGCAGGGACACAGTAGCCAGGCCTTAAGTGGCAGCCTCTGGAGCGCCTGCGGCTTGGCTACCCTGCCCTGCTCCCCGCTGCCCTCAGTGCCCTTCAGAAGAGACTCAGGAGCACCCCTCAAGGACCTCACAGTTGGTTGAGGCTGAAGAAAAGGAATGTGAGGACACCCTCACAGGGTTGCTTTCAGCAAAACTGGAGCTGAATGGGGGCGGGGGACAGTCAGACCAGCTCAGCCCTGACACCTGAGAACCACCTCTGCCTCCTGCTGCTTCACCCCGACCCTAGGGCCATCCTCATTGCCTTCCAAGGCTCCATGTGCCCAAGGACAAGGCTACAGGTGATGAGGAGCAGACCAGGCCTCAGCCATATGACTCACTCCTCAGGGAGGTGCAGATGCTCCTGAGGGCAGCTGAGGACATCCTAGCCCTGCCCCTGGGAACTGTGCCATGTGTCCACTAGGGAAAGAGGACCCAGGGTGCCCAGGAAAGCAGAAGTCATGGGGGCTTTCTAGAACCAAACCTGGGGAGAAGATGGCAGGTGTGCGCCCAGTCACAGCCTCTTGGCGCTTCCTGGCAAAGTCTGAAATCTTCCAGATAAAGACCCCATCATAGGTGGACGCCTCCATTTCAAGAACTTTCTGTTCCAGGTCAGCCATTGCCAAGTCCTTGAGGCCGATGCTCCTCTCCAGCTGCTGTACCTGCCAGGCAGCAAGACCATCTTTTCCCTCTCACTGGAAAAGCAGTGGCACTGAGCCCAGCCTCCCACAGCCACCAGTCTTGGACACCACCAGGACAGCCATCCCCAGTGTTCCTGAGTAACCCTGGGCAAGGCTTCTGCTGAGTCTGTCCCTCTCCACCTGCCTGGCTTAAGGCAGAGGCTCCAAGTCCACATCAAAGGCTGCTGGCCAGAAAACACACTCAGAAGCCAGACTATGCCGGGCACAGGCCATCACTAACTCTGCCCTCCCAGGCTAGGGAGAAGAGGTTCCAGCCCATAATCTCCTCGAGTCAGGTCCCTCACAGAACAGGGCCAAAGCCTCCTGAAGAAACCATGCTGGGCAGGGGTTTGCAAATGGGAGTTCTGCCGTCCAGATCCCAGAACTCCTGACATGCTAGAACCTTCAAGGACAAAGATAATGCCTTCCTCCCTGCAGGCACAGACCTTGTTACTCAGGGCTTCAATCTTGTCTTGGTCCAGCCGGTGCTGCCTGCTACAGGCCTCAGCTGTCATGGCTACCCTCTCCACCTCCCGGTTCAGGACACAGACGATGTTCTCAAAAGTGGCCGTCTTCCTCTCCAGTGCTTCACACCTCTGCAGGATCTCTGATCCCACCTGGCTCTGGTCTCCTGAAAGGGGCTTTGCCTCCAGGACGGAGCTCAGCAGCATGGCCAGGTGCCCCTGCAGCCACTGCGCCTCATGCTCCTGCTGTTTCTCTTGCTCCACCTGAGGACACAGGGCAGGGAGGCTGCTGGCGCCGTCTGCTCTGACCCGGGGACAACCATAGGTGGGCCTCAGCTGACCTGAAGGGACAGAGGTCAGAGCACAGGAATGCCCAAGACTTGGCCATGGCTTGGTCTTAGTGATTTTTAACTTTTTCATTTACATGACAGCATTTGTTGCTGTCTAAAAGCCAAGTATGTTTGAAAATTAACCTTCATATATATAACTTACTTGCTTTTATTTAAAAGAATTAAAGGAAAAACACCATTTTTAATAACTTGCTCAATGGGGAAAGGTGAAAAACAAAACATGGGGTAGAAGCTAGTCTTTCTTAAACATCTCTTTTTTTTTTTTTGCAGTTTTTGGCTGGGGCTGGGTTTGAACCCACTACCTCTGGCATATGGGGCCAACGCCCTACTCCTTTGAGCCACAGGCACCGCCCAACATCTCATATTTTATAGATCTGTTTACTACTCAGTAGTTTTCAAACTACTCAGTAGTTTTCAAACAATAAAATTAAAAAGTATTAAAGACACTCAAAAAATTAAAAGAAACAGATAAATCTGCATGTGTACCCTGTTAGAGGCACTGAGAGATAAGAGAACTAGACAAGAGGATGCCCATGTCTCCTCCCAGGAGCTGTGCTGCTGGGACTGCAATGTGTGAGGTGAGGAGGAAGCAGACTGCAGCAGCACGTGGGGCTGGATGTGCCAGGACAGTGGCCACAGAGCAAACTCTTGTCCTCAGCTTGAATGGCAAGTATCATCATCATGGACTCTTGCTGCATTTATCTTCTGACCACTAAAAAGACCCAGAAATAAGGACCAAGGCAGCAATAATGAATACCACTGGGCCCAGGCAGTCTCTAAAACTTCATTCTGTACAGGGGACCTAGGTTCCTTGGAGGCAGCAAATGCCAGGCCTGAGCAGGAAATAGACAAGAACTGCACCCATGTAGAAAGCAGGAGACTACCCCATGCAGATGAGGGGAATAAACAAAAGTGAAACACCTAAAATTATATGCATCAGTTACCAAACAAGAGCACCACCTTGACCTCTCCTACAGATGCTGTGAGGGATGCCTGCCTGGCGGGCCGCCTGGTGCACTTGCCCTTGGCTGGCCCAAGATGGCCCAGACCCATGACCTACCTCCCTCTAATCCATCACGCATACACCTTGGCCAGGGCCTGCCGCCAGGCCCAATGCCCCTCAAGCGGACATAGTAGGGTCCTGACCTCAGAGGTACCCACTTCACAGGGAAAGATGGACGAGGAACAAGACGAGAGTGTAGGCTCGGGACAGTGTTATCTGCATAGGGGGACGGGCTTCACAGAGACAGAGGTGTAGACACCTGACAGGTGTGCAATGTGCCTGGCCTGAGAAGAGAAGGTGTGCTCGAGGACAGGCAGGCCAGTACGCAGAGCAGAGAAGAGGCAGCAGAAGTGAGGTCATGACGAGGTCACAGAGGGTGGGCACATGATTTCTGAATCACCAGTGAGGTATGAAGGCAGAAGCCACAACAGGGTTCTAAGTCAGAAGTGCCATGGTCAGAGTTCCATTTGCAAGCAAAACAGAGCAGGCAGGAGTCTAAAGAAAGTCTGGTAAGCACTGGGGGCCAGAGATGAGGACAACTTGGGCAGGGGAGCAATGGGAAGTAGGGGAGGGATCAAATTGATGGCTGTGGCTAGAGCTGAGGGTTAGAGAGCTGTTGCTCTTTGGAGGGCCTGGGAGGACAAGGTGGAGAGGGACACAGAATAGCAGCCTTAGAGTGGTCCATGCTATAATAAGTCTGAGATGTCCACCTGACTTCCAGGAAGGCTCAAGGAAACAGGTGGATACTCACGTCTGGTCATTCTCAGGGACAGGGGGTAGTTAAAGCCAGGGGTGCTAGGAGACCACCAAGAGGATGGGGATGGGAGTGGCTGACAACCTGGGACTGTGCCCAGGACACTCGGACACCTGAGGTGGGACAAGGAGGCTGCTGAGAAAGGGGCTGAGAGGGATGTTGGGAGGAAACTGCAAGGAGCTACGACAGAGGCCAAGTGAAGACTGGGAGGAGACAACCCAGCAAGCCCAATGCCAACCCTGGACTCACCGTCTCCTGACAGCCGACGGTGTGGAATCTGCAAGGGACTCGACACTTGCCACAGGTCTTGATGTGGTCCTGGAACTGCAAAGGGACAATGTCATGACTCATGCTTCTCTGTTCCGACCCACTCTTCAACACTGGTGCCCAACTGAAACTAGACTTTACACAGAAGCTCTCAGCCTCCTCACTGTCATGCTACACAGAACCTAAGCATCTGTTTTCAAAGCTGCTTCCTCCCACTGCCCACACGAGCGAACACACACCTGTGTACATGCGCATGCCACAGGCCCTGCATGTAACTGGGTGGCCAAGTGTCTCAGGGTGCCTGAAGAGTCACAGAAAGCAGTACCTGTCATCTATCAGTCCCCAGGATGTGTGGGGTGGAGGCCCCAAGGCCTTGGTGTCACCTCACATGAAGAGCGGCTGGCCTGACCCAGAGTCAAATGCCTACTGCTCACTAGTGTGGGGATGGTGTAGGACATGAATCCGAATCATAACATGAAATCCAGAACAGGGTGGCTGTGCACTGACATTTCGTACATGATACAAACAGCATCTCCAATCAGTGAAGGAAAAAAAGGCTACCATTTTGGTAACTTGTATAATGATGAGGGGACAGCGAGGGGAACAAAATAAACACAAGACCCTTCCTCCCTCTTCCAGGTGGTGTGGCAAGTGTACTGGAGCTGTAAATGAGAGAGAATCAAACCTGCAAATACCAGAGAGAAGAACAGAATTTCCTCTACACCTGGGAAGCGGAAAAGGTCTTAACTATGAATCTATTTCCAGACGCAGTACAGAAAAACCTCAAACAGTGCCCCTTTAGATAGATGACCCAAAAAACCACCTGGGCAAGTCATGAACAGATCCTTCCCCATGAGAGGAATGCAGGTGAACTTTAAGCAAAAAGCATTTAGTCACATTCACAATTTCAGAGACGGAAAAGTGATACTACCCTCGTATTTCTGAGATTGGCTCCAAGACCTCTCGGGGATACCAAGCTCCTCACTTAAGGGGCTCTCGTCCCTTCTGTGAGACGCAGTAGTGTTTGCATGTGAGCGTGCACATGCTCTTGCATGTTTCAGGCCATCCCTAGACCACTGATAATACCCAATACTCTGTAAGGCTATGTAAACAGTTGTTGTACTGTATTCTTTAGGGACTAATGACAAGAAAAAAGGATATACCTACAGAGAGTACAAAAATAATATATACACTTTTTTTTTGGCCAGGGCTGGGTTTGAACCCGCCACCTCCAGCATATGAGGCTGGCACCCTACTCCTTTGAGCCACAGGTGCTGCCCTTTTTTTTTTTTTGACAGAGTCTTACTATGTACCCCTCAATAAAGTGCTGTGCCGTCAAAGCTCACAGCAACCTCAAACTTTTTGGACTTAAGCGATTCTCTTGCCTCAGCCTCCCAAGTAGCTGGGACTACAGGTGACCACCATAATGCCTGGTTATTTTTTGTTGCAGTTGTCATTGTTTAGCTGGCCTGGGCCGGGTTTGAACCTGCCACCCTTGGCGTATGTGGCTGGTGCCATAACCACTATGCTATGAGCGCCAAGCCCATATACACATTTTTAAGAAAAGAAAAAACTATATTAGATTTGTAATGCTCAAGTCATGTTTGACTTCTGCAATTACAAGAGGTGTTCAACATGACTTGTATTGATTATTTGTTATCAATGTACACTGAGTATTACAATCAAAGACGCAAGTTTTCTTTCTGCGTATTTTTGATCTGCAGTTGGCTAAATCCCCGGATGTGGAACCCATAGACTCAGAGGGCCAAAAGTATTTCTCACCTATCATACAAGTGAAAATCCAAGGTCAACACTACACTGTCATCTGAGGAAATGACTCTCCCACACTGTAAATGAGATACTCACAGACATGAAATCCCTCTGTCCTAGAATGCACCTTTAATGTTCACTTTGGTGCTATGTAACCTGTCTCTTTCTTTCTCTGCCTAGACTTGGAAATTTCCACCACAGAAAGCTGAATAAGAAGTGATGGGAGGGTGGTGCCTGTGGCTCAGTGCATGGGGCGCCAGCCCCATATACTGAGGGTGGTGGGTTCAAGCCCGGCCCTGACCAAACTGCAACAAAAAAAAATAGCTGGGTATTGTGGCGCGCGCCTGTAGTCCCAGCTACTCGGGAGGCTGAGGCAAGAGAATCGCCTAAGCCCAGGATTTGGAGGTTGCTGTGAGCTATGTGATACCATGGCATTCTACCAAGGGCAATACAGTGAGACTCTGTCTCTAAAAAAAAAAGTGATGGGAAAGGCCAGGCACAGGGCTCACATCTGTAATCCCTTGGGAGGCCAAGGCAGGTGGATCACCTGAGCTCAGGAGTTCGAGATCAGCCTGAGCAAGATTGAGACCCATCTCTACTAAAAACAGAAAAAGTTAAGCCAGGTGTCATGATGGGCACGTCTTAGTCCCAGCTACTTGGGAGGCTGAGATAAAAGAATCATTAAAGCCCAGGAGTTTGAGGTTGAAGTTGCTATGAGCTATGATGCTATTGGAGTCTACCTAGGGTGACAGAGTGAGACTCTGTCACCAAAAAAAAAAAAAAAAAAAAAGTGATAGGGACCCAGAATGCCTGTTGCTCTCTGGGGAGGGCAGGTCTGGGGAAAAGGCATTGCTAAAAATGAGGGGAGACCACAGTCCTACAACTCTGCTCACAGCAAGTCCCGTGGAAATGGAAAGCCAGGTGACTGTCTGACCTCCTTGAGCCTCAGTTTCTCCCCTGGGGTTCCCGTGAGGGCTGAAGGTCAACTCCAAGAGCCCCCATACTGTCAGTGACATCACAAACAGGCAGGTGCCCCATCCCCGAGGGCATAGTGGCCTTCCACTGAACCCCCCAGAGGCCCCTCATCATTTCCAGCGAGTCCCACACACTGGCATCCAAAGAAACGGCTCCTGACACATCATATCCCACACTCAGCTCAGTCCTGCAGGTGTTTCCAGACATGCGGTTGAGAGGCCCAAGCCTGGCTCCAGCAAAACTCCAGAAGCTGGGGGTGGGGTGGCACAAGGGAGCAGCTCCAACAGACTTAGTGCAGCAACCACTGTCCAATCATGTACATGTTTTACATAATCAAAAAGAGAAAATTTTTTAAACTGCTAAACTTTAAAAAGAAATGGAAGTAAATGAATTGACTGTAGACCAAGTCTGACATAAATGCACAAAAAAAATGTATTCCAGCTGACCTCAGAACACAGTATTTGAAAAAAACACATCTCTGTAAGACATACTGCCAAGGACAAGAAGAACTTCAAAGAGAGTAAATTTTATCCAGTGGTCTTACTAGAATACTGTGGCTATTTTTATTTTAAACTTACTGTACATAAAGGATAAAGCTAGTTAGTATGTTAACACTGCTAAGAACCAAAATTTTCAGCTTAAAATACAAATATAAAATTTAAAAAGATAAGAGAAATCCCTATAATATTATGTAAAAATTAGAATGCCAGTGTGAAAGCACACTCAGCTCCTTCATGGGGCACAAACTCCCGCAGGAAGCTGGCACCAAGACCACAATGCCTATAGTCCAGAGTTCTGTACCTCCAGAGGCCAGACGCTGCCAGCCCAGGTGAGGGGTGTGGGAGAAACAGACCCAGGGCCACTGGAAAGACCCTCAGGCTGGAGAGGAGGCCCTGTGGGTAGGCACATAAAGATGCGATGGATTAAAACACACTGAAATTGGGCAGTGCCTGTGGCTCAAGAAGTAGGACATCAGCCCATATAACGGAGGTAGTGGGTTCAAACCTGACCCCGGCCAAAAACTGCAAAAAATGCAAAATAAAAACCACGCTGAAATTGCTGGGCGAGGTGCTCACTCCTGTAATCCCAGCACTCTGGGAAGCCTAGGTGGGTAGATTGCCTGAGCTCAGGAGTTCAAAACCAGCTGGAGGTCATGACAGGTGCCTGTAGTTCTGGGTACTTGGGAGGCTGAGGCAAGAGGATCACCTGAGCCCAAGAATTTGAGGTTGCTGGGAGCTATGACACCACTACACTCTACCCCACAGCAAATGAGTGAGACTGCCTCAAAAAACAAACAAGCAGCTTGGCACCTGTGTGGCTAAGGCGCCAGCCACATACACCTAAGGTGGTGGGTTCGAATCCAGCCCGGACCTGCCAAACAACAATAATGGCTGCAACCAAAAAAATAGCTGGGCGTTGTGGCGGGCGCCTGTGGTCCTAGCTACTTGGGAGGCTGAGGCAGGAGACTCGCTTGAGCCCAGGAGTTGGAGGTTGCTGTGAGCAGTGAAGCCATGGCACCCAGACCCAGGGTGACAGCTTGAGGCTCTGTCTCAAAAAACAAACAAACAAACAAACAAGGGAGAGACCATCTTCCAGTAACTCACCAAAATGACAAACACAAAGGGAAAGAGGAGAGGCACCCGATACATGTCCTCTAGGCCTTTTAGAAAACATGGAGTTGTTCCTTTGGCCACATATATGTGAATCTACAAGAAAGGTGATAGTGTAGACATCAAGGGAATGGGTACTGTTCAAAAAGGCATGCCACACAAATGTTACCATGGCAAAACTGGAAGAGTCTGCAGTATTACCCAGCACGCTGTTGGCATTGTTGTAAACAAGTTAAGGACAAGATTCTTGCCAAGAGGATTAATGTGTGTACTGAGCATATTAAGCACTCTAAGAGCCAAGATAGCTTCCCGAAACATGTGAAGGAAAATGATCAGAAAAAGAAGGAAACCAAAGAGAAAGGTACCTGGGTTCAACTGAAGCGCCAGCCTGCTCCTCCCAGAGAAGCCCACTTTGTGAGAACCAACGGAAAGGAGCCTGAGCTCCTAGAACCCATTCCCTGTGAATTCATGGCATAATAAGCATATAACATAGTACACAGGAGTAACCAGTGGACCTATTTAGGTGCAAGAACCTATTTATTCCCCATGAGCTCATGGCATAATAGGTGTACAGCATAGCACACAGGATAACCAACAGACCCCAAGTAACAGTGATACAAGGTGCTGGGACCTATTTCCCATGAATTCAAAAGTCAATCAATGCTTTGTCACATTCAATGGCAAGGTGCCTCCCTGAGCTACTGGAACCTCTTCCCTATGAATTCATGGCATTGTAGATAAAAATAATAGCCTACTGCTACTGTAAAAATATTTTTTGTTCATTCACTAAAAGTGTGATTTTTTTTCCCCCAAAGAAGTATTAAAGCAAATTTTAATGTTTCCTAAATAAATAAATAAGTAAAATTATGGAAAGCTGCATGTTCAAGACAGTAAGAGAAGAAGAAGGAGGAGGGAGAGCAGCAAGAGAGGAGGAGAAAGACACACACAGACACATGGGGTGCAGGACAGAGGAATGAAGTGACTGGTGCAGCGGGGTCACCTAGGCACCTTACTGTCTACTTTCCTTATTCTGGAAAAGGAAAATCACAAGTAAAGCATAAACTCCTGACTGCTTAGTACAAGCCATGCCAGGCCAGCCAAAGAGCTGATGGAGATGACACAGTAGGAGACACCCTGTGAGTAATCTCCAGGCTGTGCCCAGCAGGGAGCTGTCACTGCAATCAAGCTTGCCCTCACAGATACAAGGCACCAGGCAGGCCTCCTGTCCTCCACAGGTGGCATCACATCAGCCACAGCCCTTTACAACATCCCCAGCAGGCACTAGAGCCCGAAACTCACATCAGGCTCCCAAAGAGAGCTCCAGCCCCCAGGTGAAGATCAAGTGGCACTTGCCAGACCCAGTGTGCAGAACACTCAGTACAACAAATGAATGAGGGGAGAAGCCCCACCCCTGTTTCAGAATTTGGGCTGTGACCTGTATTTAAACAGAAGCAAACCAGACAGACAAGGAGATAAACATGCACACACTTGAGGGCCAAGAGGGCAGAGGGCTCCGCCAGCCTAACCTGCCACCCTAGAAGGCATAATATTCCCTTCTGTAGCTTCAGCCTCTGAGCAAGCTACCCTCAACCCTGCCAGCCCAACAAGGAGGAAGGCCTTGAAAAACACATATGCTAGAATGCAGTACTGTCGTCACAACTCACAGCAACCTCCAACTTCTGGGCTCAAGCAATCCTCCTGCCTCAGCTTCACGAGTAGCTGGGACTACAGGCGCCCGTTGCCACGCCTGGCTAGTTTTTTCCTTTTTAGTAGAGACAGGGGTCTTCTTCTTGCTCAGGTTGGTCTCGAACTCCTAAACTCAAGAGATCTACCCACCCACCCACCTCAGCTTCTCAGAGTGCTGGGATTATAGGTGTGAACCACCATACCTGGCCTCAACTTTAATTTAGATGTTATCCAGCAACTATTTCTTTTTTTTTTTTTTTTTTCTTTTTTTTTGAGACAGAGCCTCAAGCTGTCCCCCTGGGTAGAGTGCCATGGCACTACAGCTCACAGCAACCTCCAACTCCCGGGCTCAAGCGAGTCTCCTGCCTCCGCCTCCCAAGTAGCTGGGACCACAGGCGCCCGCCACAATGCCCGGCTATCTTTTGGTTGCAGCCGTCATTGTTTGGCGGGTCCGGGCTGGGAATTCGAACCCGCCACCTTAGGTGTACGTGGCTGGCGCCTTAGCCGGTTGAGCTATAGGCACCGAGCCCCAGCAACTATTTCATTCCTGTGCAAGAAGCCATTTTCTTCACAGGACTAAGAATAGGAGAAAGTGAAATTGTGCGAGTACCAAGCCATGAATCCCTCGCTGCTATCACAGACTATGTATGTGTACCCTACTTTTCACACCCAAAGCACTTGCTGCAAATACCAAGCTTTGAGGTCAATACCAACATTTCTACCAGGCACAGTGGCTCATCCCTGTAACACTAACACTCTGGGAGGCTGAGGCAAATAGATTGTTTGAGCTTAGGAGTTCAAGAATAGCCTGAGCAACAGACTCCATCTCTACTAAAAATAGAAAAACCAGCCAGGTATTGTGGCTGGCACCTGCAGTCCCAGCTACTCAGGAGGCTGAGGTAAGAGCCCAAGAGTTTGAGGCTGCTGTGAGGTATGATGCCACAGTATTCTACCCTGGATGACAGAATGAGACTCTATCTCAAAAACAAAAAAAAATTTCTTTTCTTTTTTTGAGACAGTGTCTTACTATGTTACCCTGGATAAAGTGCCATGGCGTCACAGCTCACAGCAACCTCAATCTCTTAGGTTTAAGTGATTCTCTTATCTCAGCCTCCCAAGTAGTTAGGACTATAGGCACCTGCCACAACACCCAGCTATTTTTCTGTTATAGCTGTCATTGTTTTTTAGCAGGCCCAGGCTGGGTTCAAACCCACCAGCCCTGGTATATGTGGCTGGTGCCCTAACCACTGAGCTACGGGTGCTGAGCCAAAAAACCTTTCTCATAAATAGCACATGGAGGGTAATTACAACTATAATGTTTAATTTTCACAATAATTAGGACACAACTTGCCCAAAAGTAACAACATATACTGGAAAATAAAAAAAGGGGTTCTCACTGTAGCCACTGGCACACTCAGGAGAGTGGCCATACTACACATCTGAATATTCTGTGACCCCCCCTTCAGGTCGCTGTCCCTTTGGACACAAGGTCCTAATCCTCCCCACACCATGCAGCTCGGGACCCTCATTATCAACACTTAAGTGGCAACTTTGTGGTCCTCAGAGGGCATGAGCAACAGTTTACCTTCTCCCGAGAGATCTTCTTCTTGCCGCAGCCTTCACAAGTCAAAGGGAACTTGGGGCAGACTTCGTGGTGAGCCTTGAAAAGAAGTGAGCAGTGTTAGTATGGCCTCCCACACGGGGCAGAAAGGAATGTAAGGGTGGATGTGCATAGGCTTAGGCTGCGGCCAGTGCCTGAGGGGCCATGGGAATGTTCTGGTCACCCTCCACCCTGGGCAGGATCCTGCAGGCACCACTCAGGAGCTTCAGAGACTTTAAAACTCTCTCTTTTTTTTTTTTTTTTTTTTGAGACAGAGCCTCAAGCTGTCCCCCTGGGTAGAGTCCCGTGGCATTACAGCTCACAGCAACCTCCAACTCCTGGGCTCAAGCGAGTCTCCTGCCTCCGCCTCCCAAGTAGCTGGGACCACAGGCGCCCGCCACCACGCCTGGCTATTTTTTGGTTGCAGCCATCATTGTTGTTTGGCGGGTCCGGGCTGGGGATTCAAACCCGCCACCTTAGGTGTACGTGGCTGGCGCCTTAGCCAGTTGAGCTATAGGCGCCGAGCCTAAAACTCTCTTTTGCATTTCACTAGCCTCTAGGGCAGCGGTTCTCAACCTTCTTCTCCTAATAGAAGGTTGAGAACCACTTCTCTAGGGACATAATGAAGACAGAAATAGATGGTCTAAACGGAGTACATCACCATTCTGCAGCCCTGACTTAAACAACAGGCTTTTGCAGGGACAGAGAATGGTGTGAGCTAGTGGTACTTCCTGACAGGACTATGCTGGCCTCACACATGACACCTCCAATAGAGTCTGATATGCTGCTGTGGGCCCCACACAACTCTGGTCAGGCCAGTCCACAGGCAGCATGGACAGAAGAGCACTTTTGTCCCAAGAAGAGAAGACACCCACAGAGACTATTCTAGACTGAGAGGCCCAGAGACATTTCAGTGAAATGCAGAGAGGAACCCTGTGACTCAAATCAATCAAATTAAGAGACACAGGCCATAACACCACAGTCAGCCCTATACATTTCACAGATACATTCTAAGCAATGTTTGGATGAAATGACACAAAGACTTGGGTGGTTTTTTTTTTTCTTTGAGAGTCTCAAGCTGTCACCCTGAATGCCGTGGCATCACAGCTCACAGCAACCTAAAACTCTTGGGCTTAAGCGATTCTCTTGCATCAGCCTCCCAAGTAGCTAGGACTACAGGCGCCTTCCACAATGCCTGGCTATTTTTGTTTTTGTTGTTGCAGTTGTCATTGTTGTTTTAGCTGGCCCGAGCCAGGTTCGAACCCACCAGCCTCTGTGCCACATGGCTGGCACCCTACCCACTGAGCTACGAAGACTTGTTTAATAACAGTTTAAGGTGTGATGCCCAGGCCTTTCAAGCTACAGGGCTGATGACAGAGTGAGGTGACACAGCACCTACTGCTACCACCTAGAGTGTTGGAGCTTTTCTAAAACAAAAACACTTTTTAAAGTATTGATACTTGGTGCTGACTTCACACCCATGCTTAGTTCCTCCGAGAACTTTCTACTCCCTTGGTTTCAGGGAAATAACTATGGCCCACAGGGCTGATTGCAAAGAAGCCAAGCCAGCCCCATCCCAGTGTAGCCACGGCCACACAGGCTGTCCCCTGCCCATGTACCTTCACATCTGTCCCAGAGCAGGGTGCCCGGCAGTGCCGGCAGCTCAGGCTCCTCTCTGGGCACTCGTGCTCCAAGTGGCGCTCCTTCTCACCAAGGCGGACCAGGCTTTTGCAGGCAGGGCACTCGGTCAACATGAGCGGGCAGCGACCTTCATGGCAGCTCTTGCAACAAAAGGAGCCAG